CTAGTCTTACTAATTATTAATGTTAATAATTAATCAATCATTAATAAAATTTTAATAATAAAATGATTAATTATTCTAACTTATAATACTAGTTCAATAAGGCATTAACTTGTCACAAATTACAGAAGTTGTTACGGTATATTGAACATATATGCTTTATAGTATAGATATTTGATAATCAGCATTTCTTTTTACAGATTGTTACATATTTGACTTACAGACTTTTTGTTTATAGCCATATTACACCTTATATCAATAGAGGATGTGGATGTTCTTTTGATGAATTCAAGGGCTGAGAATTTAGAGTGCAAGCTGCATTCCTTTGTCGAGTAATTTTATGTTCCCACATTAAAAAAAAAAAAGGATGTTTTTTCAAGCTCTTTAGCTTGTAAGTAGAGACCACAGGTTGATATTATTTTTCCTTTTGTAATATAATACTGAACAATAATGAAAGAGTACACAAAAATCTGTCTTTAACACAATATTGATATGCCACTTACGTTTCAGGGTAATTACAGTAATTTGGTTGTTACTCTATATGGTGTCACGAATTAGTCGCCAGAAAACATTATGATGCAGTGGGAATGATTCAAGGGCTTTTCATCAGGCTTCATGGTGAACTGGCTTCTTGATCCTGCAGACTGTTACCTCTGCTAACAACCCAGCAATCACTGAATTATTTTAATTTTCTGTTTGTTCCTGTGTCTGTCTTCGTTTAGTGCAACAGTATTTATGTTCTTCCCAGTCACTTGTGTACAGCATGTATGTAAACAGTGATGCAGCTACATTTGACAGTAGTGGATGGTGGAGCCATTAAGGGATTTCATTTTAGTATGAAGTCAGAAACAACATATCAATATTTACATGACAACAAGAGACTTGTATTAATTAACTTCTGACACCTGCAAGGCTGTTTATAATGAGATATGTAGCTGGGTTAATCAAGACGACATTTGATCATTTCTGTGAAGTCTCACATCTGCGATACCCCTGGAGAAACCATGATTTCTAACCCCTGTGTTTCTTCTTGCCCTGCATATTGCATCTGCATTTTTTTCTACTAACACAGAAACAGGTTTTCAGATAACAGAATTTCAAAAATACTTTCAGCTAAATTATTTTAAACCTTTGAGGTTGTTTTTTTTAAAAAAAAAAAAAACCTCATTACTCTATGAAGAATGCTTATCAGTAAATGTAGCTTAGATGGAATTCCCAAGGTAAAGTTCAGAGAAAGGAGTGAAGGATTCTGTTGTGCTGGGTTTTCTGAAGTTTTTATTCTTCCTCCTGCAGCTGAGAAACTTGACTTCCTGTGTTACTAGAGCTTTCAATTGCAAGGGTTGTCCTGGCCTGATGTGTTTTCTGCAGCAGTGATACCTACGTTTCAAGAGTTAAAACTTATTTTCAGGCTTTATTTTTAAATATAAAAACAAACTGTGAACATATCTGTAAAACTAGGGAGGTGACGATTTAAGGAATGGCAGAACTATTGATATGTTCAGGCGCTAAAAAGACAGCAGCTTGACACTTTGCTTTAGTGATTTTGGTGGTTATTTGGAGTGGAGCTCTTTTATTCTTTTTTACACTGCTGATGTCTAAAAGCTTACCAAAGCCTGTGGTCCCTACTATTGTGAGCATTCCTTGTGTAATAGAGGTAGTCTGGCACACTCTAGTTATTGCTGTGATTCTGAGGGTTAAGCTTGCATTTTTAAGCCTGATGCATTTATTCTTTTTCATTACTCAGATGATGATAAAAGCAAGCAAACAAGTCAAGAAACGGAGTCTGTTTCATCTCGAAACTTTGAGCATATTCATGATGAGGATGCAGCTGTGCAGGTAATACTGCTGCACACAGCAATGCTGATAACTTTCAAAGCTAATATGAAGCAAAGGTGGAGGCTACTAGGACAAGCAACGCTTATTATTTCCACTCCTGCGCTGTCCTCTGCTTGGGCCCACACTTATATTTGCTGTTGTGCATAGATCAGAAGCTGCTCTAGCTACAATCTGGTAGGAGGTGGTTATAGTTATTAATTGGACAAGATTCCCATCCAGTTCCACATGAACATCCAGACAGCACGGGGGTGGGAATAAAGTGGCACTGAGTGGAGAAAAAGGATGGGGGTCTGTTTGTGCAGGTCTGCTGCCGAGTGAAGGCATGTGGAAGCACAGCTTTGAGTGGGCTCCTCGACAGATGTGGAGAGAGCATTACTGTAACAGACAGGGCAAGAGTCCTCTTACTCTGAAGATCTGGGGGTCCTGAAGTTTTGACTTGACTGAGTTATAGAGCTAAAAATCTGCTACTGATGGAAAGCTACCAAAGCTGAAAAGCAGCAATATAGCTTCAGTTTTCCCCTGTAATTTATAGCAGTTAAAGGGCGCATGTTCTATCTGTGCCTCTTCTGTGGACTGAAGATCAACTTGATAACAAGACCATTACTATGAAATGTATTGGTGCAGCATGAATCAGCAGAGAATTTATCCTGAGAAACTTTAAACGGTTGCATCTGTCTTTTAGTCTCTCTTTCTGTATCAAAGCTACTCTGGTTTTCTTCCCATTATTGTTCATTTCCATTTCCACAATATTCTCTGCATTGACCCCGTTTTCTTTAACATAACATGTTTTCAACTTTCACTATTTTCAATACGCATCTGGAAACAAATATTTTTATACAGAAATATTTCTGAGAGACAAATATTGTATTGCCTCACAAAGGGACTCTAATGGTAGCTATTAGTTTGTGAATATATTTAATATATTCAGCAAGGATGTATGTATTTTTAAAAGCCATTTTTATCTAGTGTTTCAGAAACAGATAGATATCACATTAAAAATACCTCCTTGAACTTCTGTGTTTATCAAAGTGTGACAAGTAAAAAGTACATCCCTGTGTGTCTGCCCGGAATGCTGTAAGATAGGAATGATGCAAGATCTTTTAATTAAAAAATGAAAATACTTTCTGAAATGTTGTAAGTGATCACTTGTCTATTATTATTGCAGAAGGATGGAGCTGTTACCATTTCCTGTACTGAACTGCCATTAGGTGATGTCAAAGATTTCAAAGCCTCAGCAACACTTCTCCTTGAGACTGAAGAAAAAGGTGCTTTTCATCCAGTGTACAGAGGAGCTTCAAATGCTTTCCGTATCCGTCTGTTTTGTATTGATGAGGAGCATGAAACTAGGTAAGTATGGATGAATAGTTACTGCTTTCCCAATCTTGACCATTTTCAATGTTACATTTTTAGGACAAATCTGAAAGTGATAGCACCTTCTGCACTTAGGTTGGATTTTTTTCTGACCTTTTCCATTTCTTTTACCTTCACTAATAACGTACTGCAATTTTCATCCTCCAGCTGCAGCTTCCCATTTCTGGTAGGACTGTGGGGACAAAAGGTTAAAAATTTATTTTTGTTGGGAAAATGCAAGTTGCAATTGTGGAAGAAGGCCACTTCTTCCTCTGAAGAAACATTAATTCCAAAACTGGCTAACTGCAAAAAGAGCTAGATGTTACAGTAATGATCATCCCATTTCATGGGGCAATAAAACTGTTTTTAATGCTGCAGTTAAATGTTCTTATTTCTAAACACTCTGTCTCCCATCAGAGAGAACTGATTCCACTACAGTAGGGGCAAGACAAAGACTTTTTATCTTAAAATGGTTGCGGCTGCTGACCTTGGACTCTTGGATCCTGGTGGAGTAGAATAGGTCTATAAATGTGGCTTAGACATTTTTTTTCCCAAAAATTTCTCTGCACCCTTGAAGAGCGAACTTATACTCAACCACATCAGCAAAAGCTTGTCCAGGAACATTGTCCCTTTCTGATTATAAATGAGCTCTGCTCTTGTGTATAGATCCTAGGAAGAAAGAAAGATTAAAACGTATAGATACTTAGAAAAAGCAGACAGAAAGAGGCTGAGAACACCCAAGGTCTTCCACACTTCTAAATACCTGTGATTTCTAGAGACACAAGGTATCAGTAGCAAGGACTTTGTAGATGATGAGTTTGACAACTGTAGTACCATTTTAAAAAACATCTTTCTACCTGTAGTAGTCATTGGTGACTGACAACTTCTGAACTTACCTGACTTAAAGGAAATTTAGGAATAAACTTCATTAAGAAGAAAAATCAGATCTCCTTGAAAACTAATTCCATGTATTAAGCTGTTTGTTGATTAAGGAGGGGGCCTACCCAAAGGGATTAACACTGAATCTGCTACAAATGCAAATATCCTAAGTTACCAAAGCAAACACATAGCCTTCTTGGTACATATTTACTGAGTAATATAGCTCAAATTCGTTAGAAAAGGAGAGAAAAGTGCCGTGTTCAAAGTCTGTGGTGTACTTGGAAACAACAATTGATGTATGTGCAATAGAACAATCACGCTGCAGAGAGTCCATTCTGGAATAATTAATTTATGGATGATCTAGTCTAAAATAAAATTCAAGCAAGGTAATTATTCCAGAATAAAATAACTTTATGTTAAGAGAATACTGAGATGAAGGATTTCCTTTGGAATCACTCCATTATACTGAAATAGCTATTCAAAGCAGTGATCTATACCTGTGTTGGGAAATAATCTCTCTGTAGACTAGTTGAGTTCTCAGCTCATAGTATCCTGCTTAGGAGAAGGATACTGTCACTTTTTTGCCCCCTTGTGACATTCTGTCCTTCATTTGCACCGCTGTTGTTTCTGTTTGAGATACTTTCACAGAGTTTATCATTTGCTGCAGTCCCATTTTTTTTTTTTTTCCCTGGAGACATCTCTGGAACAGTTTGGATTCCAAGATGGGTATCTGTGAAGAAGATAGCATTCCTTTCTGAAGACTTCTCCTAAGATTAATTCATGCAATATCCTCTCCTCAGAGCTGAGGAATCTGTAGATCTTGGTGTGTTCAAATATTTTCCTTGTATGCTTCCCTAGCTTGGATTTGCTTGATCCACCTGCTTGTAAAAGAAACATTAGAAAAGTGAATATGTTGAAAGGATGGCATGAGGCAATCCTGACTGTATCTCAGATTCTTGTCCTTAAGGAGTTGCTGCTAACCTTGCACAGCGTGGATCCAGAAATAGTAGTTTGGTTGAAGTGTAGGTATGATTGCATCTTAGCCCTCAAGGGAATTTTACCACTGAGGAATTTGTGTTAGCCAGTAAAGTTGCTAAATGTTTCCTTCTCTTAAATCTAGAGCTGTTATGTAGCTTGTTAGTGCGTTGAAAGTGAAATGCAAAGGAATTAAATTTCTAGTCTATCTGCAGATATTTGATGCCTTTTTAAGACCCTTGAAAAATCTCCTGGTTACATTGTGTTCCTTGCTGCCAAGAAGGTGCTGGATACCAGAGAATAGAAAACTACACTGCAATGGCATTTTCCTTTGCCCCCATTTAGCTATTCAATTAACTAGTCATAATTATGTATTATATAGGTGAATATATAATACCCCGATCCAGATCTGTATTTACAGGTCTTTTTTAAAGTTTTCATTCAATCATAAATATTTTAATTAGAAATTATTTCTTTTTTTATTCAGTAATACTATTGGTGAAGTAATTAAAGGGCACTTAGTTACAGGTCTGGAGGGAGGAAGGATTTTATCAGTATTTTTAGGTAATATGTATCTGTATTGAATTTCTTCAAAAGACACATTTTGTGTGGTGGAAAAATACTTTATAAAGCTTCAGCATAGCTAATGGGTTTAGAGCTCTTCGATATCAGGTTTATTCTTGATAGTAGTAATGCTTTAAGCACTAGAAGTCAACAACTGATGTGCAGCATGCAACATCTGCAGTTGATTTATGCGCAAGTAGCAGGACTGTCTGTGTAGTGCTGTGAATAAATGTTCCTTGCACTTACGGGGATGTAAATATTGAAATGTATAGGATCTGTCTGATATGTGCTTTATTTAACAATGTTTACTCTTGGTTGCAGATCACTGGATTTTTTGCATTACGTTTTCAAGCTTTTTCCAGTATGTATAATTAAAGTTTTACAGTTTGTGCACATGTGTACATGGGATGGTAGTGCTGTTGTTGGCCAGAGTATTTAGATGTGATGCCCGAGTAGGTCAGTGGCTCACAGGAGTATGCTAGGGCTAGTTACCCTGGGCTGAGTTACGTTGAGGAGTTTGACTCTTCTCCTTGTCTGCTTTTGGACTTACATACATGTCCTTTGTTTATGTTCCATAGGGACTTTTCTGAGATGCAGATTTAGAAAGCAAATGTTTCAAACTTCTTTAAAATCATATATAGAACCATACTGTACCTAAATTTAAAAATAAAATCAGGGAAAATACATTAAAGGAGGTGGAGTTAAAGCCTAGAAAACAGCAGTATTAAGGAAACCCGTAGTATTTACCTATAGCCTAAACAGTGGCACTTGAAGGCTTATGTTTAGGGCAAAGCTAATGTGCAACAAATAAGGATGTGAATTTTCAGTGTAGTAGTTATTTCACACTAATGCCCTGTGTGATCAATCTTTATCTGAGATATCAAAGTCCACTTTCTGAGACAGTTAGCACACTATGGTGTGCATTATAAATTCATGCTACAAATTACTGCATGGTAGCATCCCTTAGAGACAGGTCCTGGTGACCAGAGACGTAGACTTGGCCCTAAATATCAGCATGTTCAAAAATGCTGCTTACTGCCAAAGAAGGTTCCAAGAGAAAGTGAACACAGAAAACATTTAAAATCTCTTAAGTAATTTATCCAAGCCAACAATGCAGCTGTCACTCCTTGAAACAAAATGTCATGATGGAATCACCAGGTGTAGTAAGAAAAATTAAATCACATAGTATGCTTAAAGAGAAGAAAAGGAGTGTGATTTAAGTAATATCTTTCTACTGAAAAAATGCCGTAAAATTATCAGCCAGAGCAAACCAATTAAACGTCTTCGAGATCTCTGCTACTTGGGAGTCTCTCAGCATGTATCATGCTGTATGAAGCGTCTTTCTGAATTGTCAGAGTTCTTCAACATCCCTGTGTGCAGTGAGATTATCTTAAAATGTGTATTCAATAAAAAGCGATAGAGAGACTGGTGGAAGGGAGTGCTTGAACAGCTTGAATGGATAACGTTATTTGTGGCATGCAGTTTCATCTCTGGAGGATGCTCTCTTTCATCTGAGAGCATTCAGTGGAGATTCCTGCATTCCTTTGCACGTCTGCAGCCTTTATGGCGCAGGTCTCTGAACAATTACACTGGCTGCCAAATGACTATCTTTGTACGCATATGCACCCTGCAGCGCATGCATGCCAGCAGTGCCAAATTCGGGACATGCTGGACATCACTGTACATATACAAACTTGCCTTCATCGAGTCTACTGTGCATGCAATGCAAAGTCAATCTGTGTACACACACTGGCTGTTTGTTCAGGATTTTAGGACACGCTGCTCTAGTTGATGGTCTCACTTGGCCTCAAATGTGCAAAAGGTCCCAGACAGACATACGTTGTCCTGAAATTTCACTGCAGAAGAATAGTAAGGTAGAAAAAAGGACCTTTTAAGGGAAAATACTAGCACTAAAGTAAACGTGTGGGTATAGAGATTATGTTCCTGCTAGGCAATTGGGTTAGATGATCATTGTAGGTCACTTCCAACTGAAATACTCTATTTTACTGAGGAAGAAGAGAGGGGAGTGGGAAGAAGGGACTGTTGGGGAATGTCAGGATATTAACTAATAAACCTTTACTATGGAGCTAAAAAAACCTGTTTCTGTGAGCAATACTGAGCTCATCAGTTCCTTTGTGCTGCCCAGGCATAAAGCCATCTGGGTAGAGCAGTGCTTGGAGTGTATGTACATTGTAAGCACTGCATTCAGTTTGTTTTCCTTCTATCCTCTTGAGTTGGAAGCTTTTGTGTAAAGCTTACATTGAGATCGCTAGGAGCCTTTATTGTCTGCAAATCTTTTTCAGGACAAGGACTTCTGTGTCATCCTCGTGCCACATCACGTACCAGAGTTCCACCTGATCCAGAGTTTTGTTCGGGTTGTTCCTTTCTGTACTTCCAAACTTGGTCATGAGCTTTATGTGTTCCACCGTGCGGGATTGCTCAAGTGAGTCATGTGCCTCGTGACAACAGATTGGGTCTTCTGAACTACTTTTATGGAATATACTTGCGTTATCCAACCTTGCACCAGATGGGTATTCCTTTGCTATCTCAGACCAAGCTGCTGTTCTGCATGGTATGGCACACATCTTGCAAAAATGGTAGCTGGAGTCCCCAAAACGGTAGAGTTGAATAGCACAGGACTGTGCCTGGAGCAATTAGGAGCAGAGCTTAATAACTTAGTCTTTTGTAGCGTCATTGCAGCTGTCTTGCCTCCTGTTCTGGAGTGAATCCTAAGCCTATTCAGACATACCTCCACACAGCACTATACTAGGCAATGTAGAAGTAGTCTTATATTTTCAATGAAATAAAGTAGTTAGTGACATGATTTTTAATGAAACAAAAAATGATACAATTAAAAATGTAAAAGCAAGCAGTCTTCTGACTGCCGGCATTTATATGTAGTTTCCTTTAAGTAAGTCCAAAGTGCAATGAGAGTGCAATTTAAAATCTGTACATAGGGTACTAAGGTAATGAACACTGGTGTGGACAAATAGCTTCTTCAAGTTACCTTGTTGCAGACCAAGGCCAACAGAGAAATATTGTGCGGTGTTCGGCAGTTTGGGCTTGGGTCAGGTTGTGTAACATTGATACTTGAAAGCCTGGTGGAGATTTAATTCTTGGAAACCTGGTATAACTCTGAGGAGAAATGCAGTAATGCATTTCTGGAACATGCAGCACACAGCAGTAGCTTCATTGTTGAGTATTTTACATAATTTGTCTCATTTTTTGTGTTGAATCATTTATTTCATACCTTTCAATTTCTGTGGTACTCTGAACACTTCAGTAGTCTGAAATACTGGTGAACTGGGACACAAAACCTCTCTTGCTATGACTTCTGTTATGTGGCATGAGTGTTCCAATGCTTGCTTTGTATAACAAGCATATACTGGCCCAAACACCAAGCTTAAATTGTGGCACAGTTAGAGATTTTTCTTTTTTTTTTTTTCCTCCCCTTAATGTAGCTAAATACTGCATGGTTTCAGAGAAATATTTCTGTTTTAATTGCGTACTTAATCACCTTTGGTGGTATACAAATAGCTCATGCAGGAACTGGCCAGCTTCTCTTGGACCTGTGCAGAAGCTTTTTACCATGGGATGAAATTGGGCTTCTGTGTACTATGTAAGAATCCAGCTGGCTGAAGAGAAGGCCACTGGAGTAATTCCTGTTAATCTCAGTCACAGCTGTTCAGTAATCCACCAGTAGGATTGGTAGTCATACGTCCTCTTGCAATTTTGGTCAAAATTAAACTTGTTATCAAGGTTTTTAAAAAAACCCTTATAATTCTGATTAAACTGTGCATATTCCAAATGACACCAGCCCTCCCATGAAAACAGACTAGGGTCATTAGTAGCATTTTCCAAACCCTCCTGCAGCTGTGCAGGAAAGTAAGGAAAAATAGCCTTCCATTGAGGTTCAGGATCAGAAAAGCTGTGGAAGAAACCAGATGAAGCTTTGGCAAAGTTTCTGAATAACAAAAAACGCAGTGCACAGCAGCAGGTACTCTCTTAAATAAAACCAAAATATGGAAAAGTGAAAGATCAATGTATTGTACTTGTACCAAGGGCTTTTGAAAAGCATGTAAGTGAAAAGAAAGTCACAGAAAATGGATTAAAAGAAAAACAGGGATAAGAAGATGGGAATATGAAGACATGAAAGGGCAAAATCAGAATAGGCACAGGCACAAAGTGAGATACTGATTAGCAAGGGTTGTAAAAGGAATAAGAAAAAGTGTTAAGTACACAAAAAGCAAGAGTGCAGCAAATGGAAGTATAGGTCTGCTACTTAACAGTGAAGGAGAAAAAAATAACAGATGACAAGGTATAGGCTGAAATGCTTAATGGATACTTTCCTTCAATTTTCGCTAAAAAGCATAATAATAATAATAGCATCCTGGTCTCTGAACAGTCAAAGGAATTGGGCATCTAGAGTGAGTTAATTCATTGCTGGAAGAGAAATGAGCACAGACCTTGGATAGTCCTTCCTACTGTTTCATACTCACAGTGGATCTGGTGGTTTTGTTAATTTAAGAAAAAAATAGCTTCGATGTTTTGCATGTTCTGTTTTTCATCATATTAAAAATGTAGTTCATTATTGGTACAATTGCCAATGGGTGGTGAGAAAGGCTCAAGTGCTGGGCTCAGTGAAGTGGTAGGAAGACAGCACGCTTGTGGGGACAATAGTCGTATAGCAATCAATTTCCACTTCTGAAAGATGTGTTCAGTGCTTGTGGAAGGCATGTTGTCTTAAGCATGGGAATTGTCATCTTTAATTTGTCACAGAGTGAACTGCTACTCCCTTTTTTTTTTATAGGTCATTTAATGTAAGAAGCGCAACAACCAATGACCTACTTGGTGTCAAAATGCTCATTAAAACCCTTAGCTTGAATGAAAGTATATTGAATGACTTAAAGATATTTACACTGGCTCGCAGGGATCCAGTGAGTATTTGCTGCAACTATACTTAGAAGAGAATGGATAAATACTGGTAAAAACTTCCAGAATTTATTATATTACTCTAAACTAGTATACTCTATATATATATATTCTCTCTCTCTCTCTCTCTCTCTCTCTC